TATTTTCACAGCGAATAATATTTCCCTTACAATTCTAATTAGAAGATTATTATGAGACCGCGATAGGTATTCAATGGAGTAAAGAATGTGTATATTATATCTTATATGGATCGCGGGACTAAATCTGATACGTTGAAGAAAATCTGACAGCCCATCTACTGTAACTCGTACGTGCGTTCCATCGCGTCAGAGACATTCGATGCCCCTTTCACCTCCGTGAGAGACTTTTGTGGAGATTCTTCGTTCCTTTTTTCCGATTAGGCCTCCGACCGAAATGGAAGTGGCGCCGGAGAAAAATCTTTACGAGATTACGTAAGATTACGGTTTGAGTACGACTTAGGTAATTCTGACATAAACCAAGAAGAGGGGCAGACGGATGAAGCAATGAGCAACGACCGGAACTATCGAGGACCGTGGCATTGAACTCGAAGAGGAAGAAGACAACGACGTGTCGACGACGACGACGACGACGACGACGACGACGACGACGACGACGATGACGACGACGACGTGGACACGGCGTCGAAGCGCGTCGCGCGGAAAGAGGCAAGATAGCCTTCCGAGACTAATGATAGTCCGGATTTTAGTGGCTCGTAGCATCAGCTGCAATACGTGTATAATGACGATAATGATAATAATGATTGTAATAACGATGGCCGGCCTCGTGCGCTGTGCACGAGACGGTCGAGTTCACCTGAAGTCTTTTCTTTTCGCTAGAACGAAGATCTAGTATTATATATAATCCACCAGTTTAACTACTTGACGTAACTCAATGTGAGATCGACCATCATAACGAAATTACATCCTGTCGCACGCTCGTTGGACAAATTCCACTCTCGGATGTGATAATTAAAATATACTTCCGCCCGGCAGAAACAAGTGCCGAACGAATAACATATCTTCGTACCGTTATATAAAAACAATAATCGTTACTTACCTTTTTAGCGAATTGGCTATTCCGAAATTATATTCTTTTCCATTCAGTGGCAAATTTTTATCGCTTTAAGTTCCATGGTTTATTGGTTTAAGCTACCGTAGATTGATCTCACGTTGCGCCAGCATGCTGCTTAAGCCTAAGCAAAAGATATCTTTATCTTTTATTAGGTTTTTGTGCTATCAATTCAATCCTAATGACAACAATTGGGTTAAATAAAACCTCAATAACCTTTTTGAATAAACCTATTCAGATAAACGCAGGTAGCAGATCAATACTGCTGAGAAAATGCTTCTATTCAAATAGAAGAGATTTTGGCACGTGTGGCAAGAAATGGATACCTGTGTATATTTTAGGGTCGATTAGTTCGACCCTAAAATTTGAGTTTTCGCAGGTTATTGTTCTATTAAGTTTTATATTTCATAATATATAAAAAAATATTGTTTTAATTAAAATATTTTTATTGCTTTATATTGCTTTTATATATATATAATCTAAATAAATTTTATTTTATTACAATTTAGTTGTTTATTATACAATTTTAAAAATTATGTTTAAAATACTTCTGACTAGAACTTTTGGATAAGATCGGAAAAGTGCTACTTTTATCTTTTCAGATATCACATTTTTACTGTATTAGTTTTACGCAAACGTAAATGTATGAATTGCCAATGTCATTGTACGCCAAACGCGCTATGATTGCATCATACATCGAATCGTCACAATTTGCGCACTCTTCTCGCGAAGATACATAACAGTTGCCATACCCGTTTATAGTAGCATAGCCCGTCAGCAAACTGCAATAATTTCCCCCACTTGGCGCGAACGTTTGCGCGACTGCAAGCGAACGCGTGGCGTTGCATAAGTGCTTCTCTCCTCGCCTCGATCCCGACCTTGACTTTGACTTTGATTCTTGATTACGATCACAACCAAGTAGCGGCTGCTGTACGTACGACATACGGTTTCGCAAGCCGCGTATGGGCGGCTAGATCTCACCTTGTTGGATACCTGATTGCGTTGCATCGCGGCCGAGTGACTGCGAAATTACGACTGCAGTCGCGCGCTAAATGCAACATCCGTGACTTCGATTGCGTACAATGCGAAACACAATTTTCATGTGGACAGTAAAAAGAGGAAAGAGAAAATTTGTTTTCTATTTGGTTTTCAGATTTGAGAAGAAATATTGCAGGTTCTCTCTACTTTATAATCAAGCTGTGAGAATTATATTCAATATACTCTAAAAAAACAGCTGAAA